AAACCTGATCCACTCCAGATTAATGTCCAGCCATGCCACTGTCCAGACTAGACCCTTTCCTTCTGTGCCTGGTGATCGAGGAAGAATGGAGAAACAATTTCTCTGCCTGTTCTGCCACTATCAACTTCCTGCCATTGACAGGAATTGGGAAAAGGAGGCTACTGCTTCTAGACAGCTTTGTAGCAGGAGGAAAGATGTTCCCATCCTACATCTCATTTGCCACCTACCATTCCAAGAGAGGGAGAACTTCAAGGAAGCTGAACACTATTTGAGAGATGTCAAGAGGGAGTGTGTCATCTGATCTGAAGGGATAAATAGCTATCTATTGTTCTTGAACTATATCTTGACAATAATATATCCAATAACTATTCAGAATTGCTTAGGTGAACCTGTTTCAATAGCTTTAGCAGCACATTTTTTCCCAAACTAAAACTGATAAAAAGCTATTTCATCTCCACAATGAGTCAAGATTCATTAGTTGCTCTGGCAAAGAAAATGTAGTTTAAAGTACTTATCTAGCTCTTTGAACTGATCAATATTTGCCTAAAAAGGAAAACATTATAAAAATGAAAGCAGTTTCTTTTCCTCTTCCAAGGAAACACGCCCTTCTGAATACTGAAAAACATTTTTAGAAAAGTAAATATTTAGGTTTTGTATTCAATATGTTTCTTTTATATGTGATTGTTAGATACCATCAAGTTAGTATTGATTTATAGCAAACAAATAGACTTTCTCCAGAATTACTCAGATCCAACCTAATTTCTTAGTTTACCCAACATTGTAACCATGAGCTTTATCATCAATCTCTCCACCTTGCTGTTGGTCCATTTTCCCAGCATTATGAATTTCTCAAAAAAAATTAGGTCTTCGAATAATGTATCACAAATACGATAATCTGATACTGGCAATTTGAGTTTCAATTTAGATTTGTTTTGTGATGCATTAGTTTGTTTTCTTGAAAATCCATCACATTCTCACCTTTCATCAACAAAAACCTTTAAGATCCTTTTCACTTTGCTTCCAACTTTTGCTTCCAAAGAATGTCACAGGGAAAATCATTGTCTGCATATTCTGATCTTTGTAGTAAGAGATCTCTGAATACATTTTTGAAAGCCTTTATACCTTTTCCTTTACAGTTGATAGTCAATTCTAAAATATCTTCATTGTAAATTCTGTTACTATACCCGTTGTCATTTATTTGGTCTTTATATATCATTGTAATCCCATGTTTTACTTTACTACTTGACCTTCATCACTACAGCTTGCTGATAATTTGCATTTTCAGCTATCAAAATGGTATTATCAGCATGGTTTATATTTCTTCCTCAAATATTATAACAATGCTCATCTTCTAATACATCCTTCCTTAAAAAAGAAAACTTACAAAATCCAAAACTAACATATGCAAGCATCAGCCTCTTTTATGCTCTTTAGTGAAATGTATTTAGAAGAATGGAATAGATTATAAGAATTCCAGTAACAATTATTTTCAGATTAAAACCAACAGATTCCTCTATACACTAAAGCAGGGGTCTTCAAACTCAGCCCTTTTATGACTCATGGACTTCAACTCCCAGAATTCCTCAGCCAGCATGCCTGGCTGAGGAATTCTAGGAGTTGAAGTTCATGAGTCATAAAAGGGCCGAGTTTGAAGACCCCTGCACTAAAGCAAAGTCTCTTTCTAATTGACTTCCAGCAAATCAGTGAGGAAGCAGGTCCTTCACTGATAATAGAAAGTTTGCAGCTGGTTCTTAATAAGTTGGGGATATAACCGATGCATAACAGGGTGCTTTCTTGAGCTTTTGCAACTCATCACTGGATTAGTTCTGTCATCTCTCGATCATTATGTTGAGTGGGGGCTTCAAAGGGTCTCAGGGATTCATAACAGCTATGCCATCTATAAGCTTTAGTCACATAGGTGTTTGTTAGATTTGGTCTTCACCTCAGAGCAGTTGGTAGCTGATCTGAAGATGGAGAATATTGTGGTGGGTCTTTTGCTATGATTAGATCACCCTTAATAATTGAGAAAAGTCACTACTCCAAAACTCCAAAGCATGAGTGAGGCATCAAAATGGTCATTTCCAGATATTCTTTTAATCCTACTGAATTCTAATGAATTCTGGCAGATTTCCCCAGCAACTTGATAGGTAGTTCTGTCAAGTGCTCAGTAGATCTCTGAAACATTGAGATAATGAGAGTACTTGATTAGATTACACCTTAGCTCTCCACCTGGTGGAGGAGGAAGTATTGGTTTACCCAAGAACTAGAGCAGGGGTGTCAAACTGCCGGCCTGCGGGCCAGACGCTTCACGAGGAAACTGCGCCCACCCCATTGCTGGTAATGGGGGAAAAGCTCTGATACGTCGCACGACATCACATGATGTCACGAGTTTGACATGTCTGAACTAGAGAGATGAAATGGCAGAGGTAGATGCCTAAAATGTTGACAGAGAAATTCTGTAAGTAAATTTAACCATATACAATTTGAGCTCATATTTACATCTACGCTGTGGTGTTAAGGGAAGTAAGGAATCTGTCTGTTTGTTTGCCTGCCTGTCTCAGAATTGTGCTCCCTCAGGAGTTACTGTCTAATGCAAGAATGGAACAAGGCAATGCACCAGAAGAAAAGGCCAGGAATAAAACTGCACCCTACTTTTAACAAGGAGATGGTACATTCCATTATCCAATATTCTATGATGGGCACTACTTCTGGCTCAGAATGGTAGGAGGGGGGAGACTAATGGTAGAGATACCATGGCAGGCAGGGAGAGATATTGTGGGAATCTGGGGGTGGGACACTTATGGGGAAGTCAGAATTGATGTTTGAAATTTATCCAAATTATTGAGAGACCAGATCTGTTTGGGGAAGTACATTATGGTAAAAAAAAATGGCAAATCATGTTTATTTTCTCCTTTTATTGCATCTGTAGGTAGCCAGTCAGTATTTTTTTTCCATGATGATCCACCTTCTATTATGGAAGGAGACCTTTGTGGAAAATATCCTAGGCACCTTCTGGAAAAAGTCATTCAGATCCATCCCCCAATTGGACTCCAGCTGAATCCATATGAGTTAATTGAGCCACTGCCTTGTCTCACTATTTGACCCATTCACTACTGAATAAATAATTGAAATTCTTGGACTACTAACTCAAGCATCGATACTTGGATCCAAGCCTCTGCTTGGGCATGCCTAATACTTCTCCTATTATCCTCGCAACAACCCTGTGAAGTTAGTTGGGCTGAGAGAGAATGACTGACCCAAAATCACCCACCTGGCTTTCACGCCTAAGGTAGGACTTCAACTCATAATCTACTGGTTTCCAGCCTGCTGCCTTAAACATTAGCTATGAGATTGTATATTCTACCCTTCTAATTTTAAAGAGACTAAATTGCTGTTACTACAAACTATTGCCACATTTTTCACTTTAGAAGCTTTGATTATATCCTTCTTAAATTGCCTGTTCTCTCTTTTGACACAACAGCAGCAAAATAAGATTCTATGTTCGTTTTGCTGGTAGTCCATTCAGGATAAATGGGTTTATCCTACGAACACAAGTTAAAGTAAGCTGAGCTAATACAGGAAACATTATTTATTCATATTAGTTATTAGCAAAGGTAATTGAGCACAGAAGAGGAAGATAAGGACAAAAACCATCTTTTCCTCTTTAATGCAGAGCAACTGGTAGAGAAATGCAAAGTTCACTTCTTTCAAACATTTGATGTTTATACATAAATCAGACACTGAAGAAATAACATTTACACTTAATACTTAGCTAGTATGATTCAAACTACCTGTTGAATGGCTATGGATATATGGTACCGAGTAGATGTATAGTATGTAATGTATTGCCACCATGCTTTAGCCTTTTTGATAATAAGATCGGGAATTTTATTAATGCAGAATTAAAGCTCTATCTCACCTTTACTTGGAAGTGAACTTGCATTAAACTTTCAATCTTCAATTTGCTCTGAAGATAAATACAATTCTCCAAGCAAATATTTGGAAAGAAGGCCACACCTTGTTCCAGACAATTCTCCTGCATGCCCGGAATGTAATTTTCAATTTACTTTCTATAAGTGGGTCTTATTGCACAGATAAACTTCAACTTAACCAAGTTGAAGCATCAGAATGAATGCCTACGTGTACACAGTTAACAAGCTTTAGAGGAAAAATTCTTTTCTCGCATGTTCCCAGCTCTGGTTCCCTAAACTATGTGTAATTGATATTCTGCAGTAATATGGTGGCTAGATCATTTGCTTTGCATGCTAAAGACTCCTGATTGAGCAGAGGCAAATTTTTAACAATTGCAATTTTAATTTCCCTGAGCTTTCCCCTTTTTTAAAAAAAACTCACCATTTTATAATTTTTGCTGTCAGCTGAGAAGCCTAATCCTAGCCTTAACCCTCAATTTCCTATTCCAAGGCCTCCATTCAAATTCCATCCTACTCTGTTCTTGCTGTGGCTCTTATGTTCAATTTCCTTGCTAGTCTGCTTTTTAAAGCAAAATTTTCATAATAGAGGAACTATCCTGTGCAGTTTTTTTGCTCTTGGGTAAACCTTTGGAGAATGTTTGACTAAAATTCACTAAAGTACTCCAAATGTTGCATCAGAATTCCCCATGTTATTACCAGTCACCTCATCCCCAAGAGCCTAATCCTAATTAATTACTTCATATTAAGACCTTATCTTGTATCAGTCAGTATTTTTTTAGTTTTTTTTATTTAGCATATCATTTAAATCCTAGAAATATATCCCCAAACTCAAAAAACAAATTAAGATTAGGAAAAAAATATTTATTATTGTATATATTTATTGTATATATGTTTTCCTCTCCAATTCAAAAGAAACCAGAGAAGCAATTATTAAAATGTCAAAAGCAAAGATGACGATGCATACAAAACAATCAGCTCCAATTCTGATGAGGATATCAATGCAATTTTGTTAACAAGATTACACAAATGTTTTACTATAGCCTTCTATGATGGTGGTTTTTATTTTGTTTTCCTGATTTTCCTCACTCTTACTAACAACTCTGGCATACCTAGGTAATCCTGCAGCAATTAGGGATTGCACCACTTAGTATCAGAGATCAGTCCAGATCAGTTAGATGCTGCCACCTGCTGTACATTTAATGTATGATGATGCAAAGCAAGAAAGCAGCGTTTGAAAGATTCCTTATAAAATCATCAACGGCAGCAAGCTCTTTCTTCTATGTAATTTTCTAGCATTTTTTCTTTCTCCCATCCTCCATTTTGCATAGCTTGTTAGTTGTTTTCCTGTGGATTTAAACAGCAAAATATAAATATTGGACATAAAATGTTACCAAAGCATAAATATATGCATAACTACCATAATTTATACTCATTTACATATTCATTGTGCTTAAGTACTGCTGAAACTGAGCCAATTCATGATACTTTACAATGCAAATGCCATATTTGAATTAGTCATTTTGATCAGGTAATATTGATCTATGAGTCAAGAAAAATTAAGGCTCAAGAGTCAAGATAAAATAAAATTCAGAATTCAGTAGCTAATTCAGGGAGTCTTCTCACTGCAGTTACAAGTCATGATAGTCATTAAGGGAGGCGTGCATATGAGCACCTAGCTTAATTTCCTCAATCCATGCTCTCCCAGTCGCCAGGCAGGTAGTTAAATGGAACATAGGGTGCCTCAGATAGGGAAGGCCCTGGGAGGCCAAACACAGAGCTAGAGCCATAGTACAGCACTATCCCGGCACAAGTGTGGCCTGCCATCCCCACACACTGTGCTTGGCTTCCTGCCTTGCTGGGTCCCCACAGACTTTGGGCCTACTTCCAATTGGGTCCCACACTCTCCACCTCACCTATCATAGCTTAGCTCACTTACGTTTTACACATATTTCCTTCAGGAAGCAGCTGCTTCACCACGCAATCTTCTTACACGGAGATTACATGCACCATTCCAAAAGTGGGTTTCATTTTGGAAGCTGTTCCAAGGGATGGATCAGCCAAGGGATGGATCAGCCAACTGTTTTTCCAGAAGGTCATTTAGTCTATGTAAGAAGGCCACATAACAAAATGGCTGCTTTCCAAAGGAAATCTACAAAAAAAGTAAGTGGACCAAGCTGTAGTGAGGGGTGGGGAGAAGGGTGTGAGACCCAGCCAGATGGGAAGCAGGCCTAAGAACTGCAAGTACTTAAAAGAGTGAGAAACAGGCCCAAGCCTTGGGAAAAGATAAGTGAGCAGGTTGCTGCAGTATTCCTGCACTCAGTTGGAAAGACAGGTTACCGTATTTTTCTATGTATAAGACACTATTTTTTCCTGCAAACACCCTGTTTAAAAATCAGGTGTGTCTTATACAAGTGCAGCATCTTATACACGAAAAAATAATGGTAACCTCCGTAGCCCAGGGCATGCCTGTGTGGGTTGCCATGCCGCCTGGTGCAGGTGTCAAACCCCTTGGGCTTGCCACTAACGGGAGGGGGGATGGGGGATGGGGCAAGATCGTTGGCCGGCTGAACTTCCGTATTTGCCAGCTCAGCTGTTTGGCGCTCTGCCAAACAGCTGATCGGTGCGAAGAAACTCATATGCCAGAGCGTCTTATACAAGGGTGCGTCTTATGGACAGAAATATATGCTAATTGCCAATCACTCAACTTTTGTTCAAGGGCATTGCAGTGGCTGTAATTTTGGGCAGGCATTGTAAGTTTCTTCATTTCTTCATTTTGAACAATTCATGAACATCATAAGTAGAGGACTTCTTATAGGTCTGGGTTTAATCAAAGTCAAGAAAACTATTGCAACCACTTCTTTATTTCTAATACCAAATTCAACTGATGCCTCAGGCCAATAGGATACTAACTATGGCAAAGAGCAATGAAAGGACCTTTATTAGCCTTATTTAAAGATAAAATATCCATTTTCAATCAAATCCAGTAATGTCATTTTATTTTAGAAGTGTTCTTTAAACCCATTCACTTCCCCTGAATATTTAAGATAGATACCCTATTCAGGAGAACCTGGACAATGCGCTTGACCCACTGAGTTTCTGGATTCAGGCAGGCTCTGTTCCCATCCTTCAAGACAGCTCTGATAGATAAGATAGAGAAAATGGCTGGATGAATGAACCACTTTCATATAACCATCACTCTTTTTAAGAAGGGAATATAATCAGGCCAGAAGACACTTACATGACTTGCAGAACACTGCAATGTTGTCCTGACTGGATTAAATGTACAGAATTAATACTTGCTGGTGTGATAGATGAGGTTGTAGAGTTACACTGACACTCGTTACCTGTGGAGACAAAGAAACCAGGAAAAACTTGAATGCTAGACATACATCCAAACTAGCTCCACAACCATTGCCTTACATATTAAGCCTGGAGACCGTTTATCTGAGGTACAAGCAGTGAGACGGAGGCCCCTCAAAATGCACCAGAGTGGATCCATCATTATTCAAAGAATGTGAAATCCAACCTTGGTTAGTTTTTGCAATGCATAAAGAAAGAGTATCTTCAGGCTCTAGAATGACTTCGTTGCATTTCGATTTCTTGCTCTTCTTTAAAAAAAACTAAAAAGTTTTTTGCAAAATACAAACAATACTTTTTGTATAAGTAAGAGTATTAAGTGAATAAGAAAGAAAAAAACAGAAGAAGATAAACATGAAGGAGTGGCTTCTAATCTTTTTTACAGCATTACAATGCATTTATATTTTATCCTCTCTTTCTAAGCCATATCCTGGCTTTTTAAACTCTTCTTAGTTTGTCTAATTGAATAATGTTATTGTTGTTGTTGTTATTACTACAAAATGAAGATATTTAATGTTTTTATTATTACTGATTTTTTAAAAAAATATCTGCTACACTAATATTCCTTTTAAAGACTTTTTTTTCCCTCAGCAAGCTTAGGTAGCAACAAGGGTCTTTGCCGGTGGAGCTTCCTTTCCTTTCGTTTCTTTCCTCAACTAAGGAGCCCATAAGCCTTTCCCAGGCTTGACTCCAGAAAAGAAGGGAAAGAGGCCGCCTCTGTTCCACGCGCACCAGAGCCAATTGCACAGCGAAAGCGGGTCTCGCACCTCCGCTTGTTTCCCTGCCACTCGCTCGCAGAGCCACTACAAAAGTGAGGCCCGCTTACCCTCGATGGGCAAGGCGTTCCCGGTCGATGGAACCAGGACCATGAGGAGGAAAAGAAGCAGAAAAGACGCGCTGAAAAGTTGGCGGTCCATCTTGCGTCGGGGAGGCTGGAGGATACTCTGGAGTGCCCGCTGCAGGCTTTTTATACTTTTGTAAGTGGCAAGGCAAGGAAGAGTTGACTCAGAATAAGCCCACCCATTAACATTGCCTTGGCCCACGACATAATGTTTCATGATGGCCAGGGGATTGCGTAAGTTTTCCGCGAAACAAAAATACAATGCAAAAGGAGGAGGACTCCTGGCCCCTGCGTTGGGGAGGTAGGTTGAATCTTTCCTGACGGATGTTAGCCTCTGCAAAGCTAGTGAGATTTTTTCAGATGTCATGGGAAAGGGGAAGATCAGATGCGAGTATGCGTGCCATTTTCCAACCGTTTCTGGAACTTCTGAAATAAACTCTTCCATGTTTATCCACATACATGTGTGCATATTGTAAACATTGCATTGCTCCCCTTAATAGACCAGTAAAAGAGCAGCTGCCTTCCTTTCATAATTGCATCTTTCCATCTATTTTTTTCCTTTTTCCTAATCCATTCTATAACCAGTTGTGTGCCTATGTGTAGATACTCTCGTTTTTCCCTTAATTCTTATTTAATTTCATTAATGAAAAAATTCCTTTTGCAGAAGAGAATTTTGAAGGATTTTCATGGTTTGGGTGTGTAGTTCTTGCAACTAGGAAAAGGCCACTATTTTTCAAAGAGTGGTGCCATTGTCACAGCTAAGAAGAATGTCAAATTTTGAAAAAATATTTAAAATATTTTCCCCTGGGGAATTTTGGGTAAAAAGATTATCCAAGTTTATAACCCACTATTTTGATGGAGAATTTCAAACAGAATTTGTGCTATTTTCTAGTAAGCAATTCAGGTGAGGTCAGTTATTGATTCATTATGTGCCATCAAGTTATTTCAATTCCTAGAAACATGGGTTTTTGGCATGCCTTTGGGTTCAGATACATACAGTGATTTAGAGGATTTTAAGGACTAACATTCAATGGAAACCAGAGCTTTTTCTCTGGAGCTGATGATAAACAATTAGAAAGGAACTAAGGAACATTGTTTTATATATGATAACTGCAGCAAGATTATTGTATGCATAAAGATGGAAAAAATGGGCAATACCTACAATGGAGAAATGGTTGATGAGGGTGACAGAACTTGCCAAAATGGCTAAATTGATTTGTTTGATGAGAGAAAAGACAATATCTACATTTACTAGTGCCTGAAAGCTTCTTACTTATTTCTTGCCCTTATTATTTTTGTAAATAATTCAAGGCAGCGAACATACCCAATTCTATCTCCTCCTCCCACAACAAGTACCCTGTAAGGAGAGTTGGGTTTAGAGAGCGTGAATGGTTCAAAGTCACCTAGCCAGCTTTCATGCTCAAGGTAAGACTAGAATTCAGTCTCCTGGTTTCTAGCCTGATGCCTTAGTCAGACTATGTAAAAAAGAAAAAAAAACTTATGATTTATGGTTTTGATGAATAGCAGGGTGGATTATAGAAAAGGACTGTCACATATAACTTGAGAAGGATAAAAATATAATTGTGCTTATAGCTACTGTAAAGATTGGAAGCCACATCTTTATACTGTATGTTGCTTTATATATTTGTTTTCTTCTTTCCTTATTTCTTCTACTTTTTCTTTATGTAGTTTTAGCTTTTTCTTTTTTCTCCCTTTATCTTTATTTTATTTTAGTTTGCATTAGTTCTTATCACTGGTCTCAAAACTGTCAATAAATGTATGTGTGTCTGTTTTATACGCTGCTTATCTCACTGTTGAAGCAACTTTACATATATATAAAGATTTTCCCTATGATGATCTATCCCTAATCTGTTCTTTATAAATAGTCACTCAATGATGTACTCATCACCAGGGTAACTGAGTCCATCCAGTTTGTTTCTGGACATCCTCTTTCCTTTCACCTTTTCCAGAGATCTGGGTTTCATATAATATGTTTGGAGTAGTTTATTTATTAACTACATTTAGAAATGACCCATCTCCCTCCTAAAGCAACTCTGGGCAGTGTAAAAATGGACATAAAACAAAAAAAGTTTATGTAAATATTATAATAGAAGACAGTTAAAAACAAGAATGAAATAATTAAAATTAAAAAGGCAGGAAAGGGGTTTCAAAGCCAGTCTTATGATTGCATGCTCCTCTGTGAACCCCAACTGAACTGGCAGGGTCAGGGCTTTAGGCATGTTTTTAATTTATAAATTTTTATAATATATTTATATAATATAATTTATATATTTATTAAATTTCTACACCGCCCATCTCACTTAAGTGACTCTGACTGTTTACTACTACATAATAAAACAGTATAAACATCTAAATAAAAACACAGATTAAAGACAAGATTAAGAACAAATTAAAATGTGCAAGTTAAAAATAAAAAATCAAAATTAAAATTTCAGAACTCTTTTAAGTTTCAGCCATCCCCAGCATTGCATCACATTCTTAGACCTTAATACTCTTCCGGGAAAATCAGAAGAAGTGGGTGCTTGCCTCACCTCTGAGGTTAAGATGTCCTAAAGAGTTAGGTTATATACTATCCTCAAATGCGGAACTTCAAACCATTGCATCATAAATTCTTGATAACCATGAATTCTTGCTTACATAGAGGTATTTTTTCCAAGTAATCCGAAAATATTTTATGTAAGCTACCGGTACTTTGCTTTTCCAATTAAACTTCTTTGCTTTTAACAGTTTACTCCAATGAATATTAGCCAGAAATTATAAATCATGGAGGAGGGAGGAGGAATTACTATATTTCCTTCTTACTACCACTAACTACATGCCAACAAGCTTCTGACATACCATGAAGTGCCAAACTCCCCTTCCTTAAACTCTTCTGTATAATCAAAGGTTTAGAAACTTGTTATATTTTTAAAATAATTAAATAACCAGCAATGTGCTGGATTAAAAAATAATGTGTGAATCATTAAGGGATTAAGCAAATGTATAGAAAATACACAGACATATAACCACATCAGCAGAGAGATATCAAGTATAAAGAGTTTAATTTTAAGTGTTATATCTATTTTATAAGTTAAGCTAGAAGGTGATTAATCAAAGTCTAACTCAGAACCCCACACTCAGGCATTCAATCTCATTTAAGCACTACTCTTCACATAACTAAAAGTCTAAAACCTAAAATATTATTAGTGCTGATGTGAATCATCCACAGACATCAAGATCCCAAGTGAAATACAGACCAGTGGCTTCTAAAAGATTTCACTTGTGGTATCAATGAAAATAAACTAGAATCAGAAATAGATGGGTTAAATCCTGCTGCCAAATTAACAGACAGTAGTAGAAATCACAATGTCCAAGCTATTGGTTGAATGATTTTGTAATCTGGAAAGAGAGGCAATTGTTCAATCACGCTCATGTATATATTCACATCTAACAAATAATGGACAAGACCAGTAAAGTAAGTGAGGGTAGTGACTTATCCCATAAACACTCCATAATTTCTGGTAAAATTCCAGCTTGTAAGTAAAAGATGTTCTAGAATACATCATTAACACCAGTTGTGCATATTATGGAGTTGGGCAACATAGGAAGATACGTTCAGCAGGATTCTTGGTGACTGTGTATTGAAAGTTTCCTTGACATGTTTTAATATAATGTCCTGGTTCCCCCTCCCCCAAAGTAACTGGGGAAAAGGAGGTAATAGGAAATAGAGCATGATGCCTTTAGAGAGAAATGTTTAAATATGTGCATCTTTATTGAAACGAACATAGAAATATTTAAATACAATACCAGAGTTTAGACTCAGGGTGCAAGAAACAAACTTTCTTGTTTTTATTGTTTAATTAATGGGGTAGGTCTTTAGCTTTGGGTTTTTGGTTTATAAAAATGGTTTTACTGATTCCTAGAAAAGCCAATAAGAAAGATCTTTTCTCTCCCTTGTTTCTTTTCAAATTAAGTCTTTCTCATTCCTTCTGTACTGAAGCATTAGAAACATGGCATCCTTAAATGTAATCTTAGAGTTCTATCACTATTTTTCAAAAATCTCTTCCTTGTGGAAAAGGAAAGGGCTCTGCCTAGTTGCTCTTCCCCTAACATTGTGTGCCCCTTCTGCCCACAGCACCATTTCTGAGGTCTGTGCATGAATTCTGTATTTTCTGGACTGTCCTTATATCATCACATAGACCTTGTGAAGATTCCATGTGGATGCCATATTGATATCTAGAGAGTACCAGGTTGGGCTTACAAATTCTGCCTCATTTACCTTTCTATGTGTTAAATGTACAAGTGGGACTTTTTTTTTGTAGTGATCTTTATTCAGAAGGCAATCTGCAAGCTAAATTTAGGATAGAAATGGTTAGAATTAGATGATTAATATTTTCAGCTTGGAGAAAAGAAGAGGATGTATAAAAATCACACATGCTGCAGAAATTGGGGAAAATTGGATGTTTTTCTCCTTGTCTCGCTCCATGCTAGAGCTTAGGTTAATCCACTGAAATCAAACACCTGAAGATTCAAGACCAATCAAAATAAATACATCTTACATAGTATATAGCTAAACTGGGATTTGGTACAAGAATTTGCTACCAATTGAGCAGTTTTTATAGGAACTAGAAAAATATCATAAAAAATCAGCTATCAATGTCCATTAGTTTGGCAGGCTGAAATTCCTATAAATACCAGCTGCTAAGAATAATTGTCCCTTTGCCAAGAATGGGAATTTTCTGAATATTCTGCTATTATGTGATTCAGACTGTGTGATCAGATTGCTGGATTGACTGTCCCACTGACCTATCTAACAGGGCTTTTCTTACATTTTTTTGAACAAGAATAAAATAAGGAATACTTTGATATCTACCTAAGTGACAGTTTATTAGTTACTTGTTTCAGTCTTCATGGGTCTTCACTTGGTAAATCTGTTAAATAAAAAATAAAATTTGTGTGAAAAGAAGAGAAAGGAAAAGGATATAAACAAAACTGTCCCAGGGAAGCGAGCAAACGATAACGACAAAAACCAATTATAAATGTGTCCTGCCTTTTGCTTTCACCAACTTCCTGTCCTTACCTGAAGGATCACAGTATCTCCACTTGTTATCTGTATCATAATTGCCGGTGAGGGAGCACCAGAGTTTCCAGCTTAAAGTACCATCGGTTGTACATGCTGAGTAAACCTTTTTTTTGTAGGCAAAAGGAAAAAAACAGGGCTCTTTTGGTTCCGCATCTTCTCAAAAAATTATTGAAGACAAATGTATGTGGGAGAGAAAGAGAAAAAGCATAAGATCAAACTCTAAAAGCAGAGGAATGCAGTTCCAGTCATGCTATATTCACTTAAAGCTGTGAGGTTCTTGATGGCAAAAATGTAATTCCCATTCACAGCTCCTTAAACCATCTTTTTTTTTCAGAACTTTACAGCAAAGCAGTAGTGCAATCTTGGGGAAAGTTGTGACTGCTTTAAGGAGATGTGGGTGGGTGGTTTGTATCCCATTTTTTTTTATCCTTTTAATTTTCAACTTCAAAGTGCTGCACAGCCCCCTTAGTGATTTTTCTCCCATGATTAACAAGAAGCAAAATTTAAAATTCAGACTCTGTTAATTTGTTTCATCTATCTTCTATTTCCTTTTAACAACATACACACACAAACAAAGTAATAACAAATCTTATTGTTAAGTAATTAGTTCAAGACTGAAACTATTAACACAACTATTAACTACAACTTTGATATGAATTGTGGTATCTTATACTCAACTTTGGATGAAAAGTTAAATAATATATTTGCTTGTAACAATAACATCCTAAATGACAATTAATATTCATAGAATGCTTATATTTCTCTTTTGTGGAATCAGTAAGCAAAAGGTATGAAGTGGTGGTGCTAGAACTGAAACTGGCCTAAAGGATTCACTTGTGACTTTCAGTGTCTAGCAGCCAAGTCAGCATCAGAAACTGGCAATATTTGATGTACACCCGAATCTTTTGCATACTGGGAGTCCCACTATTACCCTTCTTAGTATTACTTTTTGTTCATCTATTATCTTAGAATATCAGACTAAATGTGTCATTATAAAGGCTTGGGACATAGCAATGCTTAAATGCAGATAACACTTTGAATGGATATAGTAGAGGTGAAGGATAGTTATCTGATTCAAACCTGTGCAAAGAGAAAATGTAGCTGCATAAAAGATTGAACCAATAGTCCTTTGGTTTAAAAATCTGCCCCAAGATGGCTTACTTTCAAGTAAATGTAAATAAAATTGTGCTGTGTTCCTAAACCCAACCATTTATCACCATCTTGATATCTTGGAGCTACCTGCCTTTTTTCTTGTTTAAACGTGTATCAGCACAGAAGCTCCATTTCATGTCCACATCAAAATTTTCTGTAGTGGCACACCAGAATCTCCCATTCTTCTCATTCTTCTCATCCTCATCAATGCAAGTGGTAACCATTTCTCCTTTGTAGTTGAAAGGGAAGACACAAGGCTGGCCATTGGCATTCCCACCATATTCTGTGAACGTAGGGAGGACAAAGAAAAATTGGGAGAGGGTTTGGTTCAGTTGTCCAAGAAAAGGAAACAAAGCAAGTACTTAGAACTCTGGGTTGGAACTCTATGTGGGTCAAAAGGGTATCACACTGGAACATTTTCATATTTTAATTAAGTAGAGAAGAATACTTGGAGTATGATGCAATGACCTCGCCAAAAGAGACAAAGCCTCCACTTCTTGCTAGTTTGGGAAAGGGATTAAAGGAAAAATCATTATTTATGTCGATTCATATGTCCATCCCACCCATATCTGTGACTTCAGGTGGCTAATTGATTAAAAAAAAACACAACAAACAAGAAATGAATAGCCCAATAACAATATAAAGCTAAAGAGTGCTTGAGACTTGTAACCCAACAAACCCAAGAAAAACATTAAACAGCCCATTTGACATCCTATCCCAATATCCAGGAGAACATCTAGTACAGATCATTAACACTTTGCTGGGCTTCTGGGGAAGAATGGCACACTGAAATGTCTCCACAAAAAGTGCAACTGAAGGAAAGGCCAGTGAGTAGACTGGCTCTTCAATAATTCCTCTCCAGACAAGGAGAGGATTTGAGATCACCCACAAGTGTGCCAGGCAATTGCTTCTTGCTCCCTTACCTTGAAGGGAGCATGATTTCCATTTTCTGTCGTTATCGTAGTTTGGAGTTGTGGCACACCATAGCTGATTGAATAAAATCCCATCTGTGATGCAGGAATAATAGGATTTGTTCCTGTATATGAAGGGGAAACTGCAAGGGGCAGGATCTATAGAGGAAACCCAGCAAAGAGGAAGAAGCTTTGATTGAAGCAATGTAAGGAAAGGATTGGTGTGAGCACTAAGGATGAACAGGGTTAACTTCATTCTGTAATCAGAAATATTCTTTTCAGATATAAAGGGAAATGGTCAAATGTTCAAATTCTGTACATAATACACATTAGGGGCAAAATAGCAAGTAATAAATATAAATTTATTAAAGTAATAAATAAAGGATTAGAAACCACATTGCTGCCATACTGTGGCATGGAAATGAAGAACACAGTACTGAAACAGCATTTTCCAAAGGAATATTTTTGAACAAGAAACCAACATACAATTGAAGTGTAGATTTGTTTATTGATAGGTGAAGTACCCTAGGCCAGGAAACAGAAGTCTAAAGAAGGGGGGATTGCAAACCCTCTTTATAGATTTATTCAGATTTTATCTTTATTTAATTGTCACATGATAATTACAAATACTCATTAATTATGAGGTAGGCCATAATGTTATCACTCTAGTTCAGGGGTGTCAAACTGCCAGCCCGCAGGCCAGACACGTCACATGGAAGCCGCGCCCACCCCATTGCCAGCAATGGCAAAACAGTCCCGATACGTCACATGACATCACATGACGTCGCGAGTTTAATATGTCTGCTCTAGTTGATAAGGTTGATCTTGACACTTTCCTATGGAAAAAATAAAAGACCTAAATTGTTATTTAGTCACTGTTTAAAATTTTTGAATTCCTAGTGGTTACTCTTGCATTCTAGTGATTAGCTTTTTCACTTCTTAGCATATTGTTACTTTAATGCATTTGAATTCCAAGTACTTGACTTGCTTTCTGCAGAATTGCAGTACAGTTGTTTAAATATTACATACAACTTAGGTCCAAAGTTGGACCCCTCATTTTTTCCCCTACAACACATAGAAAAGCAGGCATAAAAATAGGTAGCCACTGGAACCAAAACACATGAAGAAGGGAGATTTAATAATAGGGAGGTTATATGGCAACCAATAGATTTTTTTTATTACAACTCCCACAGCCATGAGAAGGATTGTTTCTTGACTATTAAACTATTCTTCTTCCCAAAGCTTGTCTTTTTTTCACAAAACTTGGATTCAAGTTACATCTTTGCTTTGTCTGGTTACTTCCATTATCTGTTTTGCTTACCTGAAGGCTCGCAGTATACCCACATAGGCTCAATGTCAAAATTACTTGAAATAGAACACCAAAGCCTTCCATCAGATCTTCCATCTGTTGTACAGGATGAATAAAGATTATTTTCAAAGATAAAAGGAAAGACGCATGGATTAGTAGGATAATTTGCATCAAGTCCTGGAAGAAGGAGAAAAAAAGGAGAATAATCATTTGCCATACTACTAAAGTCCATCAATTAATACAGTTTTAGTATTTTTTTAAGTGTGACCCTCAGCATATCGACTCAGAGGTAAGTCCGTTAGTACTATAGGTAATAGCATGCAAGTTTATATCCAAAACATTAATTCTATTAAGGAAAATTTTAGATTAATGGAGAAAATATTTATTTTTGGCTGAACCAGGGCCTTAATTATACCCCTTCATTTTATACTACACAACTGTCCATTGAATGATAACAAAATTCTATCTCCCCAAAATATCTAAATGTACTGTATCTTTGATTTGCTTTATTATATATGAAAAAAGCTGTACATTTGATATTTTACATGCAAGTTCCTTATAATTGTTGATGCTCAGCACAAACCAGAAACGGATATTCCGTATAAAAGGTTTTAATTTACCATAAACCATGACTTCTAATCCTTCTAGTCCTCAATTTCACTTACTGGTATCAGCACAGTAGCTCCATTTCTTGTCCTTATCGTAGTTCCCAGTCGTAGAGCACCAGAATGGCCCTTTACGGTCAGATTTGCCTGCGCAGGTGTAGTAAACATGAGTCATATAAACAAAGGGAAAGACACAGGGTTTTCCTCCTGAATTGCCTCCATACTCTAGGCAAAGAGAAGAGCACTTTGTGAATACATATTAGAGCAATGTATAAATATAAATACAGATATTGCTTTCTTTATCTAAGAAACGAGTGGGCAACTGAGGTTCTCTAGATATTTTAGACTACTATCCCCACAGTCCCATGACATTGGCTGTGCTACTTGGGACATATGGGAGTTGGAATCATGGAAACTTGGATTGCAGAGAAGGTTCTTTTCTAATACTGAGATTGTCACCAGCATAATAAAGAATAAGCTAAAGTGTAAAGGTCAGAGGAAAAGCTACATACTACACATAAATATAGTGAATTGCAAATAGAATACCCCAGCCATGAAGAGTTTCCAATCCTTTGCAAACCCCATTGAAGATAACCTGTGATTCTCTTCACATCTGCCAGAAATACTATAAGTCAATCAATGCTTGCTTACTAATTGCTAATGGAACAGTACAGAAAAAAAATCAGTCCAGAAATGCCCCGTTTCAAGCTACTATAGGCCCTGGAAACAACAATAAAAAACCTTTGTATCTCCCTTTATGCAGAATTAATTTAAAAAAATGCAAATACTATCCCTCTTCCAGGCAAGGTATGAATTAGACTTGGTATATTTGGGCTGTAAAATGCAGATGGCAGCAGACAGAATTTTCTTGCATCTCTACTGATATCTAATGGTCATCTGCACTTTTGACAGGCCAGATTTGGTGTACCTGTGTAAATGGGATGCCTCTTGCTAACTGGCATGCTAACATTATTGATAACATGCCAGTATACTCACTAGATTATAGGAAATACTGTAATACAAAATAGAACTCTGCATACCTTAAAAATGATTTGAAAAATATGCTTCAGAATGTGCATGAATAGACCTTGTGGCTGCTCTGGACATGATCACATTGCTCGGTATTATGAAGAGAGTGGCTGATAAAAAGTGGTGTGTGGTTTAATTTTTTTTTTACATTTTCCCACTAGCCATATTTCCTGGATACAATATAATATCACATTCCATCATTCACAAGGCAGTCCATGAAGCAGGTGTGACACAAAATTATAGAATTTGGGCAAGGATCCACAACATGAAAGATAACAGCAGAAATTGTACAAGACCATAGCACTTCACAAGATTTTAGTATTCCCACGAGTTGTCATGTAAAGACAGTAAAATTTTCTTAGAACACACAAAAAAAATTCTGTATGTTGCAGGTGAAAAAGAAGTTTCTGCTCCATTTTTTGTGATTCAGTCCCACCTTACACTAATTGCAGCAGGTCATATTGTCAAAAATAATTCAAGGACTTTCTAATATACCTCTGAGAATGGGAGTTTATCATAGACTGGTGTAGTCAGTGGTGTAGTAAATTCTTCCACATTTCTTAGCCAGCATAGCCGTGAGATATATAAAAAGGGAATGCATGTATCTGCAGTCCCAGCAATAATAATAATAATAATAATAATAATAATAATAATAATAATAATAATAATAATAATAATAATAATAAAGTTGGAAGGGACCTTGGAGGTCATCAAGTCCAACCCCCTGCTCAGGCACCTTTGGGATATGGTAAAGTCTGTTTACCGACAGGTCAAAGAAGAATTTTTGAAGGTCACAACCTCGTAAGTGACGAAGACCTCCGTCCAACAAGGTGACCAATTAACAAGATTGACAGTCCTTCAAAGAGGAATCAAGATCCAACGAAGAGAGGAACTAATCAAAGGTAGGCAACGAAGAACAGCTGCCTTCAGGCACTTTGGAAAAAAGCTTGACTCCCTCTTCTTTGTGGCAGCCCCTGAGATATTGGAACACTGCTATCATGTCCCCCCTCGTCCTTCTCTTTGTTAAACTAGACATACCCAATTCCAGCAACCGTTCCTTATATGCTTTAGCATCCAGTCCCCTAATCATCTTTGTTGCTCTTCTCTGTACTATTTCTAGAGTCTCAACATCTTTTTTACATCGCAGTGACCAAAACTGGATGCAGTATTCCAAGTATGGCCTTACCAAGGCATTGTAGAGTGGTATTAATACTTCGCGTGATCTTGATTCTATCCCTCTGTTAATGCAGCCTAGCACTGTGTTGGCTTTTTTGGCAGCTGCAGCACACTGATGGCTCATATTTAAATGATAATCCACTAGGACTCCGAGATCCCTCTCACAGTTACTACTATTGAGCAAGGTACCCCCTACACTATACCTGTACATTTGGTTTTTCTTGCCTAAATGTAGAACCTTACTTTTTTCACCATTGAATTTCATTTTGTTAGATAGCGCCCAGTGTACAAGTCTGTCCAGATCCTCCTGTATCCTAAGCCTGTCTTCTGGAGTGTTGGCTATTCCTGCCAGCTTGGTGTAGTCTGCAAATTTGATGAGTTCCACATCTATCCCCTTGTCCAAATCGTTGATTAAGATATTGAACAGCACTGGGCCCAGAACAGAGCCCTGGGGCACCCAACTACACACTTCCCTCCATGTAGATGTGGTTCCATTGAGGACCACACACTGAGTGCGGCCGGCCAGCCAGCTACAGATCCATCTGGTGGTGATGCTGTCTAACCCGCATTTTTCTATCTTATCAAGTAGTAGGTTGTGATCTACTTTGTCAAATGCCTTGCTGAAGTCCAAGTAAATTATATCCACAGCATTCCTCTGGTCCACATTAAAACAGTGAACCAGTTTCTTACGTTATTCTAAACAGACCGTACTAGACAAAAACTGTTTGGACACAACCGAAAATCATTACTGAAACAAACGGACATCCACAAGCGACTAAGCAACAAACTAATAGAAAAGGTCTTAGAAGGGTCCATAACAGGTCAGGCTGATAGGTCTGTAATTTCCTGGATCCATTTTTTTTTTCCTTTTTTGAAGATGGGAACTACATCAGCTCTTTTCCAATCCTCTGGTAGTTCCCCAGTGCTCCAGGATCTTTGAAAAATATAGTTCAGTGGTTCTGATATCACATCTGCCAGTTCCTTGACAACCTTGGGGTGTAATCTATCTGGTCCTGGTGATTTGAACTCGTCTAGGCTGGACAGGTGTTCACTTACCATTTTCTTGCCTATCTTTACATGTGTTTCTATTCTGTTTTTTGTGGCACTATTTTTGATAAGTTGGTCTGTTTTTTCCCTTTGTGTAAAGACAGATGCAAAAAACTAGTTAAATAGTTCTGCTTTCTCCCTGTTGCTTGTCACCTTGTTTCCACTTTCACCCACTAATGGATCAATCGTTTTCTTCACTTTTTTCTTGTTTTTACATGTTGAAAGAAGCTTTTTTTGTTGTTATTTTTGACTTTGGTCGCAAGCCTTAGTTCATTTTGAGCCTTAGTTTTCCTCACTTCATCTTTGCAGGCTCAGGCTATTTGCTGATATTCTGGCTTAGTTATGTTTCCCTCTTTCCACTTTCTATACTGGTCCTTTTTATCTTTCAATTTATCAGAGAGTTCTTTATGCAGCCATGCTGGTTTCTTTTGAGAGCTGTTATTTTTTCTCTTTGTTGCTATTGTGTTAGACTGGGCTTTTATTATCTCACTTTTCAAAATTTCCCAAGTTTCTTGAGTTGTTTTCCCCTGGAGGATTCTCATCCATGGAATCCTTCCCAAACCCTCTCTAAGTTTACTGAAATTAGCTCTCTTGAAGTCCAAGACTCTAGTTTGACTGTGCTCTATTGCTTGTGCTTCCATAATGTTGAATTCCAGTATTGCATGATCACTCCCCCCCCCCAAGGGTCCTGTGGCTTCAACACCTATCATTTCATCTTTGTTAGTGAGAATTAGATCCAATATGGCTAATCCTCTAGTTCCCTTCTGTACTTTTTGGGAGACAAAGTTGTCTGCTAGGTTTGTCAGGAATCTGTTTGATCTTCCACTTGGTGCAGAGTTTGTCTCCCAGTTGATGTCAGGGTAGTTAAAGTCCCCCATTACTATTGTGATGTGCTTCCTACATGAAGAACCCATGTTTGAGAAGGCTGAATTAATCCCCAAACTGCTGGATGTAGTATAGTGGTACTAGTTGTACCTCTTACCAGTAATAGCACATTGTTTCCACAGGCGTTTATCATCATAGTTATCAGTTAATGCACACCAGGACATATCCTTGCTGGAACCATCTGTGGTACACGAAGGATAATATTTTCCCTCATAAAGAAATGGAAAAACACATGGTGGAGATTGTGCTGAAAAGAAGAAGAAAAGGGGGGGAGAAAAACTGGACCTCTTTGAAGAAAATAGTGGTTTAAAAAAATAGAAGAAGATTAGGAATTTAGGTTTTTTGGGAATTCTGAGGCTAATAGGCCTGTGGGCCATCTTTTGGCAAAGGTTTTGAGTTTGGTCAGAAAAAATGACCAGCAGGCCTGACTTTCCCACAGTTTCACAGCTGCTATAAAGATATGTTTGTCACCTTGAATTATTTATAAAAATAATAAAAGTGGGATAAAAATTCAATAAATAAAATTTTATAAGGGTCATCAGTTGTTACTCAACTGTACCACCATCCATAATGCCTTCCCCACGCTAGGATATCCTGAGAATATCATGTATTTTGTGCTTTAGTAGTATCCCAGTTTTTCTAATAGAACTGACATAAGTTTCACGTATTCGTGGAATTCTTTAAAGCAACTTCAGCTTTTCCTAGAAGCATATGTCTCCTTTAAAGCATTAAAAACAGAGCATCGACCAAACAGAATAGTATTATCTCTGTATTATAATAGTATTATCTCTGATCAACAAAAAGGTCAAGCAAAAGCTCTATTAACTATCCAGATTAGATTAGGGTGTTTTTTTTCATATACACATGCGGTATAATGTATATTTGCGTTCATGAGATAATCAGAGAATTTAAAAGCTATTATAATTATATAGCAATTATAAGAGATTTCAATCCTTACTTTCGAGTTCCATAAGTAATGATGTGAAAAGCCATGTGTATACAAGGAACATTACAGAAAAGGCCATTTTCACTCTTGGTCAAGGAATCTGACAGGTCTGAAAAAAATGCACTATACTCTTTCTTTTTATAAGATCTGCTCGGCCACATCTTCTTCTGAAAACTGCAAAAAAAGATGATGTTCAAACACTGTCTCAGTTGGAAAATGAACAAATATCAAATAAGTTAACCCTTAGCACAGCATGAAATTATTGCTGCTACATTCAGCCATAAAGCACTTCATTTCTGTGGAATTAGCACTTTTAATTCAGTGAAAGCAGAGCAATGGGTATTCCAAGGATTGGTAAATAGTCAGAGGAAAGAAACCAGGCTGGTATCTGGCTACTGTTTATATGTAAACTTCACAGGCAGAATTCAACCAGTGGAATATTTTACAGAAATTTAACTTTAAAAAGACATCCCTGAAAATTACTGCAGATGAAGTTGCTGCAGGGATGAAAAATCAGCTTAATAGCTCCCAAAGAAAAGGCCCAGCCATGGAGGACTATTACATTATCTTGGAGATAGGGGTAGCACACTTCTAGGAGCTCTATACTGTATGGACACTTCTCATGGAAGTGGAAGCCTTAATCAAAATATAGAGAATCTACCAATATGGACAGTAGTGACAGAGATCAAGAAATGTGTTTCCCAGTTAAAATCAGGGAAGAGCCAGGAGAAGACCTAATCACACCATAGACCTTTAAAAACAACTTGGACTTCTACCCACCTTTCTCTTTATCTGTATTGACAACTACAGCTGAGCATCCAAGGACTAGGGGCTCACAATCATTGTCCCTATGTATATAAAAGAGGAAAGGGATAATCTTGCCAATTAGCCTGCCCAACACAATCAACAAACTTTATTTATTTATAAAGGAAACTCCAGGACTAACTGGAACAAGAAAACATACTTACAAAAGAGTAAGCTGGATTGGTTTGTATAATTTTTAATTTCTTATATAATTTTATTTTTTATATTTTTCAATTCCGTATACCACAACTTCTTTGGTCTTTCACCATAATAAAGGTTGATTTGATCAGCTTAGTACAAACAACAAAGACGTTCACAATATTTTTTAAAAAATAACCACATTTGATCCAGAAGTGGATCAACCTACCTCCAGAAGTTGTGAATGCTCCAACCCTGGACGTTGTTAAGAAGAGATTGGACAGCCATTTGTCTGAAATGGTATAGGGTTTCCTGCCTGAGCAGAGGGTTGGACTAGATGACCTCCAAGTTCCCTTCCAACTTTTAGTATTATTATTATTGATCATCGCACAGTCAGCCAGATGTTCAGACTAGATTTGTCATTTTTGTCTACCTATCGAGTCCTTACCAAGGACCTGGGATAGGCAGATGTGGATGTTTGTTGGGTTTATTATTATTATTATTATTATTATTATTATTATTATTATTATTATTATTATTATTATTATTATTATTATTATTATTATTATTATTATTATTATTATTATTATTATCTCATTAGCCTTTTGTGGATCACAGTCCTAGCTTACATTGCATTGGGGAAAATGTTGCATTCCTTTAAACACAGATGATTTCTTTTTGTTGTATTATAAATTACAATTCATTAATAACATCTGGAAGTGCTCTGGATCATGTACCCAATGCTGGTGGGGGAAAGTCCATTTGCTTTTAGAAACATAGCCTGTTTACTTTGTGTGATAAAGAATGGTTGGTCTGGAAGGTCTTCCAAAATCTCTTGTGCAATTCCTCGTCCTTTAAAATAACCCATCAAACTCCATGCCAGAAAAAGTTAAGCATGTCTGCTATCCAACTTGCAGGTTCAGTCCAGGAAGATAATAACAATCACCAGACATCATTTTAATACATGCATGGATTACCCTCTCGCTCTCACCCTCCATCTTGCCTACGGCTGACTATCCAAACAATGCTTGCAAGGCAAGTGAAGAAAGAGGGGGGAGGTATAATTAGTTAATAATTCTGAAGGCCCTGACAAATTAAAGGAGTTAGAGAAGTTATATAATCCAAATTTCTACTTTTTTTTCACTTAGAATATTTATGTTTATGATTGATATTAAAAATTCATTTGTTCTGAAAAGCTAGTTTCCAGCCAACAAACACTGAAAATCTTTGCCTGGTGTGAATTTATTGATGATAGTATAGCATAGTATAGTATAGAGTTATACAGTATAGTATAGTGTTATAGTAGCAGATTTCATATATCACAATATATCATATTTTCTTTAATTATGACATGAAGAATAAATCACAATTTGTGGGACTGAACGGCATGTTAATCTACCACTACAACTGTATTTACATATTATTTTTAGTTAAGGTACAATGAAGCTAATTATGGTTTAACATATCAAATCTGTCTTGTCTACAGTTTAGAAATCTCATGGCTCATCGTAGCTAGGGTACTGAAACCTTGTAGAGACATTAAAGAATCTAATGGCTTTATGAGAAATATAGTCTAAATCTAGTTAGTGATAAATCTTTCTTGTTTTGGGGGCTTGGTATGTTGTGTAAATTCATTTTGTTATTAATTTATAATTCATTTTAATGTCTGTACCCCAAATATAGGCTAATTTAGCAACAAGATTAAACTTACTTTATCTACACAGCCAGGATGTGGCCTTGAACCAAACAGTACACAGTCTCCCAACCTACTCATAAGCCTGTTGTGTAGAGAAGTATCAAAATTAAATATACTACCAAGTATAAAAAGTGGGTTCTAATAAAAATATTCAGATTTGATATGCCTATGGACATTTGAGGGAACTCACTTTTCTGCTAGGTTTTGATCTTAGAAAGTTCTCCATCTGCTTCTAACTGTCCAACTGATCCCTAGAATTCTGCTATCCAATCAGATGTCTAGCTTGCAAAATGAGCTAATCCTGTGCTAACTTAAAAGTCAGTTATCAGTCTATATTTTATAATATTTTCTCTCAGGCTGTTGCTGGGATGGCTGCAGCCTGATGTGGTATGTCTTTGATATGTGTTTTCTGGGTTGTTAGAGGGATGGACCAATTGTTTGTTTGCTTGCTTGCTTTGTTTTGTTTTGTTATTATCTTGTTTCTTATTTATGTTGTATTTTTATTTGTCAGTTTTACCAAGAGCCTCCTAGAGTTCTTCTGGAGTCAGACAGTACCTGGATGAAATAAATTACACACACATATATATACATATATATACATATATATACATATATATACATATATATACATATATATATATATATATATATATATATATATATATATATATATATATATATATATATATATATATATATATATATATATATATATATATATATATATATATATATATATATATATATATATATATATATATAGTTTTCTGAGGTTTTCGCGGGTGTTTGTATGTAGGTCTTTAGTTATTCGGGTTTTCTCCCGCGTAGAATTAGAAGTGTCTTGGCGACGTTTCGACGAAGTCACATTCGTCATCTTCAGGCTGGTGTCTTCAGCTTTGTGCTTCTGGGAGTAGTGTGTGTGATCGCAGCTGTTTCTTCCTTTTAACTGCTGATTGGGTGGGAGCTTGGCTGTGTTGCTGTCCCAGGAGCAACAGAGCGACGGAGCGATGGAGCGACTGGGACAGCAAGTCGGTCAGCACGCCCTTGCCGGACCTTATACGGGGGAAAAGCTTGAGGATGGGAAGGAACGACCCCGGATGGTAGACGAAAAGAAAAAGGGGGGGTCGAGGAGCAGACTTGAAGTATACTGTAGTGGCAAAGGGGTGAAGCAGTGGAGTAATCAACACAACGGTATGAGGAGAGATGCCCTGACTGATACGGTCGTAAAAGGGGGGGGAGAAATTGACTGTGACCCGATTATAAAGCCCCGTAAGACCCCTGAATTAGAGAAGAATCCCAGACATATGGTTGAGGGTGCGGAGAGAATGACTGGTGGTGGAGGCACGGGGGAAAGCCCCCCCAGCCTCGGCGTAGGTATCAAAGGGATGTGTGATGGGAAACAGAGAGGGGAGGTGAAGGGCTTACGCACAAGTAAAAGGAATGTATCCAGAGCGCAGGAGCACAGGCAGCTGGGTCCGATCACACGTTCACGTAGCCGACTGCAGGCACTTGAGGGCTGCATATAAGTTCCACCCTTAACCGCCTTTTTCAACCCTGATGATGTCGGGAGTGCCCGACGAAAGCTTGGTTGCCTTGTATTTTAAATGTTTTAAATGCTTTTAAGGTTTTAAATGCTTTTAAATATTTTAACCTTCTCTTGGTGGTCAATGTTATTTTTGGTTTTGAGATGAATGCACCCAAGAGTCAAATCTTTACCATTATTACCAGTCATATATATATATGACACATTACAAATGTGGACATTTGGAATATGGTTTCTGGGAAAAGAATAAGAGACTAAAATAACAGATGAAGTAATTTAAACAATGTACACAATGATCTTCTCTCATGTTGAAGCCTAGAACATGAAAGGAGAAAAATGAAAGTTGTTTGTTTATCAAAAGTTCATCTTGAACTTTGGTGTTCTGAATGCTCTCCAACCTTCAATTCCTGCTTATGCAATTGTGTGGTTTCTGGGGAAGAATTCAAAACAAAGCATAATTTGTGGAATTTTTGGTGCTCTCCAAACTTAGTTGTTTGCTAATAGATTTTCATCCCAAATTAGAGGACATCATTATTGCACAATTACACAAGCAAGCATCCAGGCTCAGATCATTGAGAACTCCAAAGTTCAACCCTGAGCTACAGATATTGTTTTGCTTTGAGGGAATAAATAATTTTTTTCTCTTTGCCTCTCCCCAAGTTTGATCTCATACAACCATATTTTTTATTCTAAAATTTCCCTTCTGGCTCTCTGAATCAACAGTTAATTTTAATATATCCCATTTGAAACATTAAAGAAATATTGCATCATTATGGTTTTTCTCAATATTTCTGCTTTGTTGATCTATTCCCCCCCAAAAAAAAATCAAATAGACAAAAACAAATAGAAACAGCAGTCCTTGATCTCCTTTGATCATCAGTGAAAAACAAGAATATTG